ATTGGTCACTGTTTTTCGTTGATAACTCGTTAACGGTGCCTCGGAGAACATTTTTGTAAAGGAAGAAGTTGCTTCGAATGACCCGTGGAACCCGCCACTTTCGGATTGCGAGACATCCTTGGGACACCCTGTATATACAGTATCAGACTCTGCCGTCCAGACAAATAGCCTCGCGAAGAATTCAGCTGTACCTAAAAGGTTAAACAACTGTTACACCGGTCGATGACTGACCAAGAAAAATCTCCCCGCGTAAAATTTCGATTCCCCATTTTTGCAGCGTCAGCTTCGAATAAAAAACGATCGAATCTTCGATTCGTTGTGATATGCATCGGAGTTAATTTCAACTTTCTTTTCGCGCATATTCTTTTAAGACCGTTGGTAAGAGAACTCTGCATATACCACTGCATAGACCATCGACCGCTTAAACGCCGTGGCATCGATTTAATGGATTAAACTATTAACGCGCCCGTCATTGGCGACCGGTTCGAATATTAATTCGAATATTCCACGGCGATGCGACATCGTTGCGCAACATTTTGTCGACAGAGTGGTTTATACAGATTACAGGGTGTCTTGGGATCTGATCGACTGCTTATCGCGCCCGTAAATACACGTCCTTCGAAAGGGTTGAGAGATTCAGGTCGCGACACAGGGACATTCTATATCGCCTCGTTTATTCCGTAGGGCAGCGCCGTTGCGATGGCCCGACGCCGGCGTTGGCAAGTGGCTCGCGATAGGGCCATTATGTACCGCGTTGCAGCAAGTGCAAGCTCGGCTCGGCTCGGCTCGACTCGGCCGGGCTCTTACCAGACTCGACCAGGAGGTGGTGCGTGCACGTTTGAAGCGAAGCCGCCGCGCTGCCGGTGCAAATGTGCACGGCGACAGAATGCAACGATCTGCCGTGTTTCGTCATGGAACATGCTCGCCTCTTTGTGTATCAAATTGTACGCGGCCCGAGCCGCCTAGAATATCAGCGACGACGTTTCATCGTACGACGATTATGGTAGCCCAGGGTCGTCGGAAATCCTTACCGATTCTTGGAAGATGCAGAAAGCACGATGAAATCGGCAATGTTCTAGCAGTCTCTGTTGTCTCTAACGAACGCAAAAATCGAACACGAAGAGATAGGCTGAAGCATAAAATGTATGGCATGGGTGCGTGTATGTAACTTCGCGCGACTCATTTTGTTGCACAATGATCCATGCACAATGTTCTCACGACACACACTTACTCTAGTCGATACAGATACAACTAATACTGCTTACAGGAGAGATACTAATCAACGGGAAACATCAATAGCAACATTATTCTGCTACGAGCTACGTACGCTTTACCTATGATTCATGTATCTTGGTCAACCCGATGGCTCGAGAATCTCTGCGACACGGAATATTTTCGTAATTCTATCTCGCATAAATTCTGTACTCGCCATTGTTCTCGCATCGTTCGGTCTTTTCAGCGTTCCCTTTGAACGGCGATTACCAAAAGGGCTTACACACCATGCGGCGCGCTGGAAGCGATATCAATGAAACGAACGCTCGGATATTGCAGCGCGAGCGAACGAAAAGCAAACGAAAATAATAATAATAATAAAGCGCAATGACGCAAAAGTCGGGTAAACTCGAATATAAAGAGAATCAAGCTGAAAGATTAGCTCGCGAATGCTGGGACAATACGAGCATCGTCTCGCGCCAGATTTATCTTAATCCTTCGCGATCCGCGCGTTCCCGCGGTTACGTTCGAACGGATGTGCATGCGCGCGAATCTACCAGGACGAAATCGTTGCGAAACGAGCACGGGGAACCTCGAAGGATTAATTTCATCGAACGATATCTTTCAAGGATAATTCCTTTCAAGGTTCGATCCAGCGAACAAAACGAGCATGCAGCGCGTGGACCGAGAAAAAGGTGTTCGCTCGAATAATCCGCGGACCGAGTTACATGAATCAGCCCGCGCGGACACTCTCTCTCTCTCGCCTCCGTCTCCGGATCCTCAAACTCACCGCATGCGACCTATGTCTCTTCTCCTTCGAATGATGCTTAGCGTGGTGCTTGCTGCTCCTGTGCGGCGGATAGGTGTGGTAGAAGATGAGATCGAAGCAAGGCTGGCGTCACCTGACCTCCGCCATGCTGCACTTGGCCACCCCTATCTGCTGCGCGCTCGGATGGTTCTGATGGCCGGGCACGCTCAGGTTCGCCGAGCACTTGCCCTGCAACTTTCTCGAGCCGTTGCTCGAGCCGTTCGTCGACGCCTCGTCGTTCAACGTGGCGCTCTCCAGGGTCGGATTGCTCTCGTCGATGTCCACCGCGAACGCGAGGCGGTGATGGCCAGGCGCGATCTTCGAGTTCGAGCCGATCGGCGTGACCGTGGTGGCCGGGTCCAGCTTGACCAGAGCCGCTTGCAATTCCAGAGCATCCATATCTCTACGGGGACCAAACGAATCCCGGACGATCCTCGCGATTCCCAGCGCGCGTCCGCCGCGAACTCTCCTCGCCGGCGCTCGTTCCGCTGACTTATCCTCGGCCGGGTTGATCGCGTCGCGTGCGAACGCCTAGCTCTGCCATCGGTGGCAACCTCTCTGTCCTCGCTATCCTCTGTCCACTACGTATCTTCTCTCGTCGCACTCTCTATCTTCCCGCGAGACGGCACCGCGACAGGCTGCTCGGCCGCTTCACGCGGATATTTTCGGAGATTTTCGCAGAAAACGCTCGTAGAAAAATAGCTCGGTGCGTGGATCCTCTTCCGGCGCGCATCGAATCATCACACAAAAATGTCCCGGCCTATCTTCGAGCCTCGCGCGGATCACCCGACTCGATTTTGATTTCACACTTTTGATATCCTTGGGGCGGCGACGATTTCTTCTCGCCGTGCTACCGACCGTAATTTTGATTTCACTTTTGATCTTGGTCGAAGGAACCGAGCGGAAGGTGCCAGCCGCCTCTGGTCGCTAACCTCTGCAAGAACGAACGGCGATGGACTCTCGCGCAGGATCGAGATTCGTCGGACAAGTTTCTCGATCCGACTCTCGGAATTTCGATCCGTTCGAACGAGAAACTTTCGACGACCCGTTGCAGGCTGCGAGCGACTTCCGAACAATGAAATCCTCGGCGTTATTCCAGTCGTTGCTTTCCTCGGCGAGGGATCGCGTGACCGACCCGCGACTGCTTCCCGAACGATCTTTTCGATTTACAGCCGGCTCTAGTACCCGTGTTTTATAGTTCTAAGCATATTTGCGCTGCCGGTTCGAGCACGGACGAGTTTACGCGCGCCGAACGCGGCCAGCTCTCCGCGCGTAAACCTTGGATTCCGACTGTAACGAAACGGGGCTGCTCTGTTATTCCGCGGATTCCCGTACAACCTGATCCGTCTCTCGACGTTGTTTGGATGCGGATGTCTGGCAAGTGATATTCGGAGTGCGATAAACGGGCTACGCGAGTGCATGTAAATTCACGGCGCGTTTTATCGGCGTTCGGAGAACCCGCGGCGAGCGATCTTTTCTTTGCCCTGCTAATTTCTGTCGGACTCTCGAACGGGCATCGCGTTTCGATAAGTATCTTTGGCTTTCCAATTTGTCTCTCTTTCGTACTATCAACCCCCTGCGCTACGGGCTCTTTCGCGGCTACGTTGATCAGCGCTTCCCCGCACTCGATGCTGAACCTGCCGAGCGCTAAAAGCGCTAAACGCGTGTTTAGAGCGTGAATTTACCGAGATCTTCCGTCGAAGTTTATTCGATCGTTTCCTATGAAAGAGTGCTCGTGATTTCGATAAGTTGCAAATTAAGAAATACGAAACCGGCCGTTGCGACGAGCACGGTGTGGATTTCGCGTTAATCGTTTATCTAATGGAACGATACAATTTTTGTCCAAGCAAATTCAATCTTATCGTTTCTATGTACAAGGCAACGCGTGTTTTTAGCTTTCGAACGAATGTTTAGAATATTGAAACACGAGGAATATTTTGACTCTAACTAAAACTATTGTTTCATCGTTGGAATGAAAATGCCGTCGATAAAACATACTCGCTGACGTCTATTTAATTTAATTCAGGGGTCGATCGAAGCTTTTACGCGCTTAGAAAAGTAGAGGGTAAAGTAAAGCAGGGAGAATGCGAGCAGACGGCGTCGTCTCGAGCGGAAGAAATGGAGTTCCGCGAGAAATCGAATTTCGCGGATCGGGGTATCGGACCGTAAATTTCGGTAAACATCCTCGCTGCAGTCATAACGTGGCCCGTAAACAGCGGAAGAGCGAGCGCCGATGGAAAAATCCACGCGTTTCGCGCGGATACGGCCTCGCGTCGGTTGCGATTTCCTGTTTGCAACTGGAGACGGCCGCGCGCCGAGGAACGCGGCGTGATTCGTAAACCGAGGGTCTGTCGGCGCAGATAGACGGCAAGAAAATTTGCATGCCGCGTCTAGGAAGCAGACGTCGGTGCATCGCGGACGGCTTTTTTCGGGAAAACAACGGGGAGAGGAGAGAATCGAGCGAAACCCGAGACCCGGGCGCGCAGCTGTGGCTCGACGTAGCCGTGACTCGCCGGGGAACCCGCTCGATATTAACCCTTTCCGCTCGAAGGGCGATTCCAAGGCGCCATTAAAAATTGTTACGTCGCGTTTCGAAATAATTTTATTCATCAAATTCGTTCATATTTGAAGAACCGTTGAAAGGAGCATTTCAATTTCATATCGCATAAATGCATTAGGTTATATAAAATGGAAAAGCAATGGGTCGGAAAAACTATAGTAAATTTTTCGTTGATTTGGCTTCGAGTGCAAAGGGTTAAAAAACGATCGAGAACGGTTACAACCTGATCCTGTCGGTTTCAAACATCCCCCCGAATTTTCTGTACGAAATTTCGAATTGAAATGGCTGATCGGGGTCGCACTTGCAATCGCGTTCGCATTTTCGAGAGAAAATTTTCCGAATTTCTATGTTGCTCGATAAACGTTTGTCGCAAAAGTAAAGATATCGTCGTAAACTACGTTTACGTTTATAAGTTGTCCATTTTTGTGGACAATCCGAGCGTCAATCGGAGAGACATCACTGTACTTGGAACGCGAATACCGCGTTGGCCGCGGAAAGTTGGAGCAGCTGGCGGATCGACGCGCGAAACGAAAGCCGACTCGAGCGCCGATCGGGTGACACGCTGCTTTCGGCTCGTTCCGAGAAGAAATTTATAAAAACGGCCACCTTTTATGGAGGTTCCGGTACCAGGATTCCTCGATCGCCGCGCGTTCGTTCGCGAGGAGAAAGGAGAACGGAGGCGACGCGAGCCCGCGTGGGTACTTCGGGGTTCGAAGTTCCTTCGCGGGTTTCGCATTGTCCTTGAAACGAGTCCGCGACACGAAGTGCGCGCAATTAAAGACGCCTATTCCTCGGCTCGTCTATTTCGAGTCGCGAAAAACTTTTATACCCGCTTTATGGAGCTTTATCTTGGTTTATGCTTGGCCGGGGAGATAGCGTACGAGTATTCGTGAAAGGAATCCCAAGGGCACGGGGGCCTGGACTCGAAAAGGACGGTCAACGCACCTCGGGGATCTCTTTGTGTGATTCAGCTGCGTTTCGAAATCGTTTTCGGTGAGCATCGGCACCGAGAGACGGGTCTAGAACGCCCACGAAACGGACACCGTGTCCGAACGACGACCATTAACACGCTACCATTCTCTATCTCGAAAGTCTTTGTGCTACCCCTGACAAAAGGCGTTCGAATACCTTTCGAAACGCGATAACTTTTCTGAAACCGAACCAAACGACTTCGGCTTCTTCTTCCAAGAAACTTATCATTTTTCATATTTTCAACAAGTTAGAGGGACCGGCTTACCGCGCAACGACTGAGACACCTCTCGGAACGACAAAAAGAAAAACCTCGCGCTTGTCAACGTTTTTCTCCGAACCTGAAACGAATATTAAAAGAATTCGTTTTGTGGATCTCTGAGAGATGTAGAAATTACTCGATTTTCATCGAAGGTTACCGTAACAGAATTCGTAAAGAGAACGCGCGGACGATCGCGACCTGCCGAATCGTATCGAGAAGTCTCAATTATCAACGTCGGAAATCCTAATTCGTCAGACTGTGGAAAATTTACAGAATGCTGAAATCATCTCGTAGAATGACGCACGACTTTGTGCGACAACTAATTGAGCCCGGTGAAACGAATCTTTCCTTACGTCGTGACTAATATCCGCGAATATGCTCTGAACCGGCATCGCTGCGGAACACGCATCGATCGATTCCTTCCTACCGCAAGGATCCCCGTAATCTTGCTTTTACCTTTGTTGCACCGTGCAAGTAACAATGACGTTCCTGCTTTGAAAATTAGGTGTTCGCTCGACGTTCGAATTAACCTTTATACTCTGCTCGAGGAAATTGTTACGACGTTCCGCGAACGCGAAATTCCATCGAGCTCGGCAATACGCGACGCGATAAAAATTATCCTTCCGCTGCGATATATTTGTAATTTTAGTCGCTCGATTCTCGCGACACATATAGGTGCGCGCTCTGAAATGGAGGCGCCACAGCTGACTGGTTGATATTAGCTAATGAAAATGATCGAGACGCGAAACAAACGTCAACGCGATACGCGACGGATAAATTGCGAGTACAAGATTCGTCGTCGGGCCCGATTTGGGCTCGAAGGGCGGAAGAGGATCGAAGAGGAGGCTCGACACCGAGCCGAAGACGATCTCGATCGTTTTCAACAAAGACGATCGCGGCTCGCGCGATGAGATCGGCGACCGGACAACGCGCAGACCCACGGGATGTGCCCGATGACGGGGTCCAGGGTCGTTAGAGGTGGACAGAGGCGTCGAGTGTCTCGAACAAAGGATCTCGAACCGCGGGGACTGGACAATTACCACTCGAGCGGCGACCTTTCCGTATCGCTCCGAGCGAAGAACGACGGCGGGCCTAGGGAAGCAGGCGCAGCGAACGACGATAGCCTCTTTACAGGCGTAATGACAACTTTGCTTCCCTGCTGGTAACTAGCCGGCAACGAGCCGGAGGTAATTAAAGGGCGTGGAAACTGGGTGGCTACGCCAGCTGACTGGGCCGATTTTTATTTTCTCTCGTCGCGCCTGCACCTAGAGGCGACCGTTCCGCCGCGACACCGCGATCTACGCGCTCCGCTTCGAACACGGTTAAATTCGGCTAAATTCGAACGGCTACAAATTTTGGTCCACCTTCTACGATTAATTAATCTCGAATTTGGAAATTAATCTCGTGTGTATAATTTTTACGCGAGAAAACGATTTCTTTTCTCCAAAATATCATCGGAACGCGAAATCCTTATTTTTTCAGTACCGTGAACATGTACCGCAAAACAAATACCTTTAACCGCGATTACGAAGAAAATAATTATAACACTTTAGAGACAGCGGAGAAGCCATTCCGCTTTTTATTCCGTACGAAACTATATATACCGCGTTTATTTAAAATAAAAAAATGTTCGATAGAATCGAGTCGAGGACTAGGTTTTTGTTGCAGTTGCTTGCATCGCGCACAAGGGCTAATTAGGCTGTTGTGAAAAGATTGTTCGACCCTCCGGCCATCTTCGAACCGACTCTTCTGTCATTATTTTTTAAGAACAGTTTTTCGTACGACGATCGGAACTGTGGCAGCAGCGTCGACGAACGTTTAAAAGAACGAACGTTTGCAGACTCGAGACCCCGTTTTAAAAGACCGTGCGCCGCGTCGGAACGGTTGAAAATTTTCACTGAATTGTGGGAAAACCTCGTGCCCCTCTTATCGGGACGCTTTGTCTCTCGGAAATTCCGGGCGAACGGTGCCTGATACGCGGAATTAATTAACGCGAATAGGCTCGTTCGCGTTCTTGTCTTCGTTTTCTATCTGGATCGAGCGAGCGATTCTTCCGGCCGCGCGATGTCAACGCGTAGTCGCAACCCTCTCTGACCGACGGCCGCCATTTTGTAACGGGTCAACCGGCTTTCTCTCGGCTCGC